GTCAAATCTTTTGGTATTTAAATCTTTATTCATTTCGTTGACTAGTCTATGTACTTGCTCTAAAGTACCATTTCGAAGTAAAATTAATGGTTTGGGATTATTTCTCTTTCTAATATTACTATTTTGTGTTTGTAATGTACATCTTCTCAAGGACTTTAGAGAGCATGAACATTAATAAGCTTATGTGTCTGTAGGAGGAGATGTCTTCTGGGTATTTTTCAGGTTTAAGAATCATAATAATTTGAGCAACTTTCTATATGTTGGAAAGGTAGTTTGATCTTAATATTGCAATAAGTATGTAGATTATAAATTTTTGTAATTTTCATAAAATTCTTGCAATACATTACTAGACGTTAGGTCCAATTCTGGTGCTTTTTTATATTTATTTCGTTAATTATGATTTTTTTTTATTGAATTTGTAAAAATTAATATTAATTTCCAGCTTGTTGAAACAAACCTATAAACAACATCTGACAGCATAATCATATGTGTATTGTCAGTTGTCATTATCCGTTGTCTATTAAAAACAAAGGCCAAATACGTCAATAATTCATTTAATAGAGAAGAAGAAATTAAAGATATATAAAAGTTGAACCTGTGAATTATTAAGCATAAATATTAATGTTAATAACAATCATAAATCGAGTATAAATGTCCCCATTACATTCTGAAGGTTTAACTTACTCCTTAATCATAATACTAATGCAAATACTAATAGTAAGGGAGTATGGGAGGTACAGGTGGCTCAGTGGTAGAGTCTCTGCCTACGGATACAAGGGTCCTGGGTTCGAATCCCATGGTTGGCCGGGGCTTTTTATTTAATTTATTTTATTTAAAATTAATTTTGATGCCTTGGTAGGATTCCCTACTTGACCATTCACTGTTGGGTTCGAATTAACAGTACTGTTCCTAAAGTGGTGCTGGGATACAGTAAAAAGCCTGCACAGAACATGAGGCTAATAACCTTAGTAGTTGATGCCGATGACACCAAAATAAAAAAAAATAAGGGAGTATAAATAGACTCTTAGTTTTAGAAATCTGATATCATTGTACATAAATAAAAAGATGATCATTATGTTTCTGATTATTTCTTAAGCAGCAAATCTAAATGTTTTGATGGATAATTTCTTACGGGTTTTTGTTCAAGAATTTTTAAAACTGACCTACGAAGCAATTTGGAAATTTTCTAATAAACAGCCAAAAATGTTTTTCTCTTATAGTAAATGCGAAGGTATTAGACTGCATTTATACAAGTTTTTGATTTATTCTGCTATTTAACTTTAAAATTGGTTATTAATCTGATCATTTAATTTTTCTTGTACTTTTGCACATTTTTTAGATGATGACTTTAGTTCACAAACATAAGTATAGTAAAACAAAACTTAAAGTAAAGTGAAAATAAATATTTATTGAAACATTATTTTGGCAGAGCATTAGAATTAGACTGAGATCAATATTGTTGCGTTTTTGATAAAACATTTGTATTGACTGTTTAAAATCTAATTGACAATAACATGATAAGTCTGATAATTTTAAATACATACGTCAACGATAAAGTTAACTTCTTCTACCCTTACAGAAAGAAAAATACAGATCACAATCTCTGGATAAGCTTAGCTTTAATGTGATTTATTCTAGAGAGTTATTTTTCCTTCTGCTAATTTACTTTAGAATGCCATATTTTAATTAAAATCTTCTAGGTTCGGATAGGTAACGTTGAGATAATTACCTTGGAATAGCATGGAATTGTTCTAATTCTAGAAACTCAGATTCGAATCCTCTTTGAATAAACTAAGATGGACCTTTGAGGGCTGTCTTGCTATCCGAAAAGACCTTTATAGTTTTTTATCAAGAGAAAAAATTGTGTAGCGAATATTTCTGCTTTGAAGATCGTGGCAAAAGTAACCAGGTTTATTGATGTTGCACTCATTTTAGCTTACTTCTGCGTCTACTCCAGATGGATGGCTCAGCTGTTATCTACGAAAACTGCAGAGACACAGATAAGGCAGGACACCATCTACATCTGCACAACCAGAGGATGTCCACAAGGAGGAGTTCTATCCCCACTAATGTGGAACCTAATCGTAGACGAACTTCTATGCAGATTGACTGACCGCGGCATACCCTGTCAAGGTTATGCCGACGACATAGTTATATTTGCTAGTGGCAAGTTTAATAATATCCTGTGTGATATAGTCCAACGAGAACTAGAACATACCAAAAGATGGTACCGTGAAGTGGGACTTAGTATAAACCCTACAGAAACGACACGAGTAGCCTTTTCAAGGAAAAGAAATCCTAATCTCCAAACCGTTCAATTAGACGAGATTAATATAGAATGGAAAAATGAAATCAAATATCTAGGCCTAACCCTGAGCAACAAACTTCTCTGGAACACATAAAGAAGAAAGTAGTAAATAAGGCCACAAAAGCCCTAATAATATGCATAAACATTGCAGGTAAACGATGGGCATGTAACCCAAACATACTGCGATGGATGTATCCTGCAATAGTGAGACCAATCATCACTTACGGGGGCTATGGGCCTGGAGTAACAGAACCAGTTTAGCTATTACGAGAGCTAATATCTTAAAAATTTAAAGACTAGCCTGTTTTGCATTAATGGTGCAATGAGAACCTGTCCTACGACCGCAATGGAGGCGATCTTAAACCTCACCCCTCTACATTTGATGATAGAGAACGTGGCAAAAAGAACACGATATAGAATGATTAGGAACGGAGTAATCAGACAAAAGTCTTCTTGCTTCAGGACTAAAGATACCTGGGACATGCCCCAGGATGAAATGCTAAAGAAGTACAGTTTTGTGAAAAACTTCAAAACCACAGGGCTGGGCTGCCAGAAAGAATGGAGCCAAGAATCCATCGCGCTTGCAACCGAAAGACGTGCTATTCAGTGGTATACGGACGGTTCCAAAACCATAGAAGGAACTAGAATAGAAGTGTATGGGCCGAGGACCAAGCACTACGAAAGCTTGGGAAAATACCCAAGCATCTTCTAGGCGGAAATTCACGCCATCGAGAAGTCTATCCAGTTTAACATCGAAAGAAACTATCATAGACAAGAGATTATCATCATGTCCGATAGTCAAGCAGCCATCAAGTGTTGAGCTCTTACGTAATCAGCTCAAAATAGTCTGGAGATACCTAGAGCAATTGAATGAGCTAGGCGAGAAAAATAGAGTTACTCTCACTTGAGTCCTGGGACATAACGCGGTACAGGGTAACGAGATTGCAGATAGTCTTGCAAGGAAAGAGGCTCAAACACCCTTTGTAGGACCTGAGCCGTTCTGCGGTATCAGCAGTAACATAATATTAGGAGAGATTAAAAAAGAATTGGGCTGTAGAAGAACCGATAATTGGAACAATCTCTTGGGCTAAGATAGGCCAAGATACTTCTGGGTGAATATAACCAGGAAAGATTGGAAACCTGCATCTTCCTGAGCGAAAACAGGCTACGCATTGTAACAGGAATCCTTACCGGGCATTGCCGACTAAAAGAACACCTAAGTAAACTGAGAGTAGTAGAGGATAGTGAGTCCAGATTCTGTGAGGTGGAGGACGAAACCTCCATTCACATCTTAACTGAATGTAGAGCAATTCAGAATCCAAAGGCACTATATCTAGGAGGATACCAAATAGAAGAGGGAGATTTACCTAACTTGAAGCCACTTCAAATCCTATACTTACTTGAGAAAATAGGATTGGAAGGGTCGTTATAGACATTAAGACATTTCCTTAGCGCATTGGCGTCAGAAGGGGACACAATAGATCTTTAAGGTCGCAGTGTATTAACACCCCATTGTCAACATAACATAACATAACATACTCCTTTATTTTAGTTGAACTTCGTAAGGAAGACGGAAATGTCCTCTTTACTTCATTCGTCTCTCTCTTGTTATATATACAAACAGTAATTATTATTTTTTTTTTTTTCAATACATATTCTGTCATTTTCTGCATTTTCAAGGATCCTGAGGTACAAAATTTCTAAAAGATTAGGAGTAAAGTTAAAGTAATGTCAACAAAAAATTGTATTTTTGATAAAATCTTCAAAGTGGAGTTGAGAAAAAAATAATAATTGTCTGTAAATTTTGACTGACACGCAGGAAACTAATGCAGTTGTTTAGAAGCTTGCTTCGAACAGGGCTCACAGCAAATTAGAGGAAAATAAAAATCTTTACTTAATCGTGAAAAATTAAATAGAATACAGTGGAAAGAACCAGAAACATTTCTTGGCATTACAAAGAAATTCTTCACAGCACAGATATTATAATCGAGTAGGTACGAACGTTCTTCTTATTTAAAAGGGTTTGATTACAGTCATTACCGTCTTAAAACCACTATGGATATAAGTTTAAAGTTGCAAGCATATTAAATAGGCAGAACTGCCGATTTTCCACTTGCAAGTCTTAGTCCCTGAGTCTCTTCAAATTGTCTGTAACTGACTCTCTGGAGTGTAATAAAGAGGTTTGTGTTTTATTAGTGTATTATGAAGAATGACACAATGAAATTTAGAGCAAATTTTATGTCAACTTGGTGAGAGTTTGAAAGGATTAGGAGGCTTGGGAATATTTGGATGTTTCACCATGACATCGCCATCTATCTCATTGTTATCTTTATTAACCACAATTTTAATAAAAATGGGATTCCTGTAATTATCCAGGTTCTTAATATTGTCAGTGTTACTTTTTTTGGTCCCAAAGATGTTAGGGACAATAATTCATGAACTATCCTCGTATAACAATAATTCTGAGCTGCAATACATACATACTTTCTGGTTTTAAAATACATACATACAGTACCTTTTTGGCGGAGGCATAATTAAGCATTTAATTGATTTATAAGATGGTAAAAAAATTATAAATTTGGTAAATGTTTGCTTTTATTATTAATAAAGGGAGTTTGTTAAAATGATAAATTTCAAATTATTCCAAACCGTAAATTTTAAGGATTCTTCTGACTATTAAAAGTTGTATTGTTTTTTTATTAATAGCGTCCTAATGATATTTTATCTAATATTTTTTAACTTTCAGTAAGGGTAGTAGAATAAAAAAATTATGTTTACCTTAGAAGGAAAGTATTTTGAAACTATCACAGCACACAAAGCTAAAAAGACACTTTCCTCCCGTAATACGTAAATAGATATTACAATTTTTCATTTTTAATATTATTACTATTAGTATTTTCCGTTATTTTTTCAGCTTTTAATAATTTTTTCTTTCATTTCCATCTGTTTTTTCTACTATTTCGTTCTTTTTGTTGTCGATTCTTTCTTCACTTTTTGTCCTATCCCGCCACCATCTTCGTTCTTTGTCCTTCGTAGGATTCAGTTTCACGGTGATCTTTTCTTCTTCCTCTTCTTGGGGCAATTTTTCGTATTTGTAACCTTTTTTGATTAAAGGTAACTCTAATTGGGTCACTATCTTCTGTGCGCACCTGGAAAATATTGAATATTAGTTTTCAACAAAAAGAAAAAAGAAAAAAGAAAAAAGAAAAAAGAAAAAAGAAAAAAAGAAAAAAGAAAAAAGAAAAAAGAAAAAAGAAAAAAGAAAAAAGAAAAAAGAAAAAAGAAAAAAGAAAAAAGAAAAAAGAAAAAAGAAAAAAGAAAAAAGAAAAAGAAAAAAGAAAAAAGAAAAAAGAAAAAAGAAAAAAAGAAAAAAGAAAAAAGAAAAAAGAAAAAAGAAAAAAGAAAAAAGAAAAAAGAAAAAAAGAAAAAAGAAAAAAGAAAAAAGAAAAAAGAAAAAAGAAAAAAGAAAAAAGAAAAAAGAAAAAAGAAAAAAGAAAAAAGAAAAAAGAAAAAAGAAAAAAGAAAAAAGAAAAAAAGAAAAAAGAAAAAAGAAAAAAGAAAAAAGAAAAAAGAAAAAAAGAAAAAAGAAAAAAGAAAAAAGAAAAAAGAAAAAAGAAAAAAGAAAAAAGAAAAAAGAAAAAAGAAAAAAGAAAAAAGAAAAAAGAAAAAAGAAAAAAGAAAAAAGAAAAAAGAAAAAAAGAAATAAAAGTAAAAATAGAAAGAAAATATAAAAGAGAAGTGATCAAATGAGCTTCCTCTCTAAATTTTTTTAATAATTAAACTAGAAAATTCTGCTAAATTTTCGCACTTAAAAGAAAAGAATATTTGTGTATTATCAGCATAAAAGTGATAGTTACAGTATTTTAGAGAGAACTGAAAGTTACTAGCATAAACAGTAGTAGTAGTAGACCAAAAACAACTGCTCCTAAATTTAATTTTTAATTGTTTTCACCTATTTGGTCTTGTGGATAATTATAGCAAAAAAATGAATTTTATGAAATTGGTAGCTGCATCAGAAAATTCTAATTAATTTGTTATTGACAGCAGTATTTAACATATCAAAAGCTTTGGAATAATCTACTAAAACAAATATACTTATTTTATTAATATACACAGCTTGAATTAAATCACCAAGTACATTAGCAAGGGTAGTGGCGCAACTAGTTCCACTCTTCAATTAAATTTATTCAAGTGTTCTCTATTTTTTTTTTTCCAATACTTTCGATAACACTAATTAGGCATTCGAACGATCTGTCAAACAATAGCTGCTAGTGAAAAGGGCTCGTAGATCTGAGGGGAATGCGACATAGTCTTCCATCTTGGATACTATTTTTATTCGAAATAGTAGTCGCCAAGCCTGCCAATTTAAGCAAAATATATAAGCGCTTTTTAGAAATAATACTCGTATCTTCATAATGTTCGACATAAAATATTTAAATTTAATCCATTATTCATGATTTCTTATATTGTAAAGAGAATACATCGTATGTCGCAACCCTTTAAATATACCAACCCTTCCTTTTCTCTAACAATTCTTTTGTTTGGAATGCCTAGTAGAGTTTAAATTTCTTAAATTAGTAGGTGAGGTAATTTTAGGTATAAAAATAACAGCTTAATACATCTTCAAGAAAAAAAAATAAAAGGACAAAATTTAGTGATTTATAATGATAGTAACGAATGGAATTAAAGAGGGAGATAAAAGTTATACTATATCGACATTCACATTATCGGTACCATGCTTACGTTACATACATACCTTATTCTAGTAGAAGCAGGAGGTGCACTGTGCAAGGGACTTTGTCCTGGTAGCTCTCTTATTGGAGGTAAACGGTTAACGTGATTTTTCTCGGGTCTACAATAGTCCTGTATTCTCATTTTCATGGCGTGTTGCTGTGACCTTTTGATTGCTCCTGTCGTAGGCTGTCTAGGATAGGCTCCTGAACAACGCCCGCTGCAGCAAGGCGCACCTAAAATTTTAAATTTATTTATTGGAATATATGCAGAATGATAGAACTGATCAAGCATGTATTGGCCTTCTCTGGTATAAAATGCTTTTACTGACGTTCTAATGAAATTACGATAGAATCTATTCCTCACAAAAGCTATCAAAGTACCTTCTCTGTTTTTCTTTTAGTATTTTATGTAGGAAAGCTCTTATTCGCAATAGCCACAGATTTCACGTAACAAAATCGGAATGCAATGATGCAAATAATTGGAACGTCGTTAACCGACGAAGAAAACGTAATATTGTTGTAGGAAATCATACTACCGAAATTGTGAAAGGCGTACCTAAACATGTAAGCCTACATGTTTATAGAATTAATATCGACACTACCATTAATGATCTGGAATCTATTTTCATTAAAAATTTTCCGGAAGTTAAATGTGAAAAAATTAAATTCGCTACGTCCTTAAATTTTACTCTTCTTTTAAAGTTACAATATTGGAAAGTAATTTTAGAAATCCTATAAATCCTGAATTATGGCCTCTAGGAGCTTGCATTTCTCGTTTTTTAGAGAAGCGCAATATAGTTTAGGAGCCCACTGCAAAATGTTGGGTCGATCACTAGTATGGCTAAATTTTCATGAAAACGTCGGGTAATATATTGTACAATAGTAATCCGTCGGCAGCCGTCCCAATATCGTTTGCGTTTTACGTTATAAAAAATTATTAACAATTGAAAATATGTGCCACCCTCCACCCATCGCTTTTTTGCCAAATTTTCTACTAAATCGATAGATAGTAGTTAAATATAATTTGCTATACCCGGCTGCCGACCATCATCCTTTGCGTTAAGGGTGGCTGATGGGGCCTAAAAGTACTATATCGATGTTGCTTTTATACACTCATCGCTTTTATAGTCAAACAAAATACCGTTGGAAAAGTCGCAAAATTTCCAACAATAAAAATACCCGGCTGCCGCGCGAAAGCGTTTGCATAACTTAGGCTGCCGCGATTTTGTGCGCGCGCAAGATTCGATCACGTATGAAATCAGCGCTTTAGATAAATTACATGTTAAAATCAAAATGTCATAATTTTGCACTTGCGTCATTGTTTTACCGGCACATCGATATTGTGTTTTTTTTTTTTTTTTTTTTTTAATAATCCACTGCATTTACACCGAAAACATAAATTTAGTTAAGAAATCTCACCGGGGTGGGGGGGGGGGGGGGGGTCAAAAAAATCCTCAAAAGTACCTCACGTAATTAATGGACGCCCCCTAACGATGGCCAGGGGCCCTATCCTCGGCTATCGTTTTTCTAAAAAACGTATACGCTTTAGCAACATGCGGGATATTTGCTATTCTCGACATTCGTTTTAAAAGCGTGTACGTTTCTAAAACGGGTATTTTACTGCCAGTGGATTTTTCACACGTTTTTGATAAAACGTGCATGTTTTCAAGGATTTAGCTAATGTCACTTTTAGGATGAATAATATTATTGATTGATTTTAACAAATTCTAGGTAAACTATTTTTTATTAATATCTATGAAAGTATCTAATTTCTTACAAATATGGTTTGTATTACTAAAAAAGTCTAATAACTGAGAATTTCTTTCAATTTTTATTAGTTATTCAATTAGAAAACTTGGAAGATAAGAATCCTTAAAGATTCATTTTTTGAATTTAAGGAATATTTTTTTATATCTTACCGTGCAAGAATTTAATTATTAATTAATGTCTGTTTTATTTACGGAAATTAATTTGCTTGCAGTTTCTTGCAAAGCTCTTCTATATCACACGTTGTGATCAGAAATTTTAAAAATTTGAGCACAAAATAATAAAAAACTAAATGAGATAAGTCAAGTGATTATCCAAATTAATTTTGTACTTTAAAAAACTAGGTTTTTTATGACGTACGATTTTCCTAGAATTTTAGGTTGTATTAACTGCACCCGTATAACTATTTTTCCGCAAAAAAAATCGATTCAGGTTTTCCTGAACATTTATTTATTATGTGATTAGAAAAAAATCATCATTCGATAAATTTACAAATGGTTTGTTGTAATTAAATTACATATGCCGCGTTTGAATATCTACATCGGATGCATCTGAAATGTTGTGAATTTTTATCACATGATAGTGGATTAAGTTTAAACGTAGATGTAATAAACAAACGCTCTAGACCTTATTGGTCACGTGACAAAATGACAATGATAAGTTAGAAGTTCATATTTTTTAAATTTGACTTTTGAGACTAAAAATCAACCTAAATTTGAAATCTAAACAAAAATTAAACACACTAATCACTTTTATATTCACGCTATAATAAAAAAAGAATAAATTAATCTTGTCTTCACAGAACGCCTACTTTCTGGCATGGAACGAACATCTCATTCACATCTCATTTCAAATCGAGATGTAAAAAAATGTAATCTGGACAGTTACATCTGGGATAAACAATCGCAGATGTAGATGTAGTAGATGTTTCCGATGTGGATAAACAAACTCTCGAGATATTAAAAATGTATCGGATGTGGATATTCAAACCCGGCAATAATCCTAATTTTTTTATGGCCTGCATATTACTTAAATTCAACAATAGAGACATTTTACGGTAAAGCCAGACATATTATTTGCTTGTTAAAAACGTACACGCTTTAAAAAACAAATGCTCATCAAACGCCAGTTAGGGATATAGATTTCAAAAACTACTCGCTTCTCAACCACACACTTTCGAAAACGGTTCGTTTTTTAGGGATTGTCGAGGATAGCCCTGGTTTTATGTATGCAAAAATGACGGTAACTTCTTGAAATGCAGCGACGAAACTTTAAAAAAAAAACCAGTGTTCTAGAATTTCGCAAAGAAAAAAATTTAAATACGGAAATTTGTTGTTGCTAAACCAATATGACGCCGAATATCATTCGAAATGTTTAAAGAAAATAACAACTTTGAACCCAAAATACCGAGATGAACTTAAACTTGAAAATATTAATTTGCAAACAACTGTACGTATTAACTTTTTATGTGATTATAAATCTATATACTGCATTAAATGCAGATTAAATGAAACAAATAAAAATTAAGTGGTTGTGGAATTGCCCGTAAGAAAATAATTGTATTTCGAAAGAAATGATTATTTATCAACGCGAATGAAATTATCGAGTAATATGCCCACATAGCACACGGACGTCTTATGGACGTCTAAAAGACGTCCTACAGGGACATAAAGGACGTCCATGGGACGTCCTATTTTGGTACCGGGACGTCAATCGGACGTCCAATGGACGTCCTAATGTCCCGTTTCCGTCCATCTTAGGGACGTCCCAAAAGGACGTCATAGGGACCATTGAGGGACGTCATAGGGACGCAAATCAGACGTCCGAGGGACGATATTTGACCATAATCCATAAAGGGTAATATTAACAAAAATGTTAACATCAAAAGGGCTTTATTTAACAACTTTTATCCTGAAATAACTAGCTAGAGTAAAATGTTTTCAGTTTACAAAAAAAAAAAAAAAACAGGAATGAATTAAATTAAACATACAGGGCTGGTAAGATGAAACCTTGGGTCCTACTTATAGCTTGTGTCGATATAAAATTTATTTTGTTCTAACTTTCCGCCATTAAGGTCTTTTCTTTTCGCCAGCGGCTACCGCCAATATACATCACTTATTCTCACCTCAACAAAAAACACTCACTTATAACCTCTTTACCTCCAACATAAAAAAAATAACAAATAACACTATATTACCTTTTTTTTTTCTTTAATCTAACTCACTTATATAAGTTATTTAATTCCGAAATTTGTAACTGTTGTTGGTCATTTGAAAATAAATGATAGGTTAGATTTTCCATCCACATAGTCTTGCAAAAACAAAATGTTGAATTTCAAGCTATCAATTTAAAGACCAACGATGTTAGTACATAGAAAGTCCCATAGACGTCCCATGGACGTCCATTAACGTCCTGGACTCGGACCGAAAACTAAACGATTTGACGAAATGGGACCAAAATAGAACGTCCAGAGGACGTCTGTCAAAGGACGTTCCAGTGTTCACGGTAAACGGAAGTCCACTGGACGTCCTATTTAGGTCCGGGACCAACCGGACCAACAAGGGACCAAATCAGGACGTCCATGGGACGTCCTGTGCTATCTGGGTGAAAGCGGTGTCCATTCCGATATCAATTACTCAGAAAGCGATTATTCTGAGGAATTTAGTGTATATTATTAAACTTATTTTTTCACATTTTGTTAACTTTAACGATGTATAATTTTATAAATTGCAAAAACAAAACAAAATTAAGACTTCTCTATTTATTTACCTCTCTTGAACATTAATTACTTTCTCTGCTTTAGATATATAGGGACGTTTTAAGCATAACGAAAAATAAAAACAATAAAAAAACAACACATAAACTATATATTTATAAAAACAACAGAATAACAAATATTCAAAGAATACATGAAAGCGAGACGCTCTAGCTTTAATCGTAAACTCGCGTGTTCCAATCAGAGACAATAACAGATGTCAAATAAACGTCAGCTGTGCGCACACTCCCAAACTCCTTATCTAAAGCGCGGATTTCATACGTGATCAAATCTTGCGCGCGCACAATATCGCGGCAGCCTAAGTTATGCAAACGCTTTCGCGCGGCAGCCGGGTATTTTGGTGTTGGAAATTTTGCGACTTTTCCAACGGTATTTAGTTTGACTATAAAAGCGATGAGTGTATAAAAGCAACATCGATATAGTACTTTTCAGCCCCATCAGCCACCCTTAACGCAAAGGATGATGGTCGGCAGCCGGGTATAGAAAATTATATTTAATTACTATCTATCGATTAAGTAGAAAATTTGGCAAAAAAGCGATGGATGGAGGGTGGCACATATTTTCAATTGTTAATAATTTTTTATAACCTAAAACGCAAACGATATTGGGGCGGCTGCCGACGGATTACTATTGTACAATATATTATCCGACGTTTTCATGAAAATTTAGCCATACTAGTGATCGACCCAACATTTTGCAGTGGGCTCCTAAACTAATAATTCGGTCCACAAAACACCTTAATGTTTGAACCAAACCTGCTTCTACTTAATATAGCAACTTTAAACGAAACGAAGGTTAAATTTCTCGATGATGATCTATATCGATACTCAATCCCAATTATTTGTTTAGTCGAAACTGGAGTTCAAAAATATTTTTTGGAATCTCTTTACCTAAGGAGTTACACCTTGGCATCGTCATATTGTCGACCAACTATGAAATGTGGTGGCACTGGTATTTGGCTGAATGTCAGTCTTCAAGTGAAGGAGCTAAATTGTGACATGTTCTGTATTAACAACATTTTGAAGTGTGTGATGTTTCTTTTAAAAGTCGTGATCGTGTTTTTATAATTATATTGTGCTATAGATCTCCTAGTGGAGATGTTATTGTTTTTATAGAAAATTTGAATTAAGTATGTAATGGAACATTTTTATAAACCAAATATTAATTTTATCGTTTGTGGTGATTTTAATTTTGACGTGTATAAAAATAAAAATTTTAACTTATTAAGTAATTGTATGTATGTCTGGATTCAATCTTGTACCTATTGTAAAATGGCCTACTCGAGTGACGGATAATACCTGTACCATTATTGACCAAATTTTTGTTAGTTCGGACGAGGAAAGCACTTGCAGTGTTGTCGATAATCAATTTGCTGACCATAGAACGCTTATGGTTGAATTATCGTCGTTGTATACTAATAAAAATGCTTTTCAATTGAAAAGAAACTTCAGTGAGATTAATATCAACAAATTTTTTAATTAAATACAAAATATTGACTGGACATTTCTTTATCAAATTGACAATTGATGAAGCATTTAATTACTTTTACAATAATTTTTTATTCCATTTTAAATCAGCTTTTCCACTTCGTAAATGCTCTATGGGTAGGAATAGTAGAAAATGGGTTGATCAGGATGTAATTTCTTCGATTTAAAATTTAAAATATTTATTTTTCCTAAAGAAATCAAATCTTTGTTCATATTTTACTTACAATGAAGCCAAAAAAAATGCATAAAGGTTTAATGACTTCTAAAAAAAAATATTTTTATCAAACTCGTATTAACTCTTCTGATACTCAGGCGTCCTGGAATGTAGTCAAGGAACTTTCTAATCAAACAAGAAAAAATAAAAATATAATTATTCAGGATAACGGTGGTGTTATAGAAGCTCCTGAAAATGTTGTAAAAGAGTTTAATAATTTTTTTGTCAATGAGCCGGTTAACAGTACAAAATATATCTACTATTGAAACATGCATGGATTTTAATACAAACAGACTTTTTATTATTATTTTTAAAACAGGTATAGTGATTCCTGTCTTTAAGAAAAATTATCCAAAAAATATTAACAATTACAGACCAGTTACGATATCAAATAGCTTTTCTAAAATATTTGAGAATGCATTCCTCAACAGATTAATGTCATTTTTAAATAATTTTCAGATTCTCAGTAGTAACCAACATGGTTTTAAATCTACTACCACTGCTTTGTTTTCCTTTTACGAAAAAATAATTGAACAAGTTCATAAGGGTGAATGCCCTGCTGTTATTTTTTGTGTTTCCTCAGCAGAACATTTGACTGTGTGAATCACGATATTATATTGTCCAGATTAAAGAACATAGGAGTAAGAGGCAGGCCTTATTCTTAGATAGCTTCATTTCTAAAAGGCAGGTCTCAGTTTGTATCCATAAAATCCACCAGTAAAGATCAATGCAAAAATTTTAATTCAGATCACTTGTCAGTTCAGATGGGTGTGCCACAGGGATCAATTTTAGGTCCAATTCTATTCCTCCTATATGTTAACCATATTGATTCAATTATGGAAAACAATTCCTATACAACCTATGCCGATGCCTTTTCTACAATTGTTTCTGATAAATCTACTGAAATTTTTGAGACAAAATGTGAACTGATTTTAACTAATGTAAGTACAGTTTTTAACAGTGGTTGCTTATTTTTTAATAGCGAAAAAACCGAAATTCTTAGGCTACACAACGTGCAAAATCAAGTTAATGATATATGTTTCAGTTAATAAGTCATTATTGACGAACAGCCACAGTAGCGTTAAATTTTTAGGCATTTTATTAGATGAAAATATTTATGATGGTATTCTCTATAATTTTGGTAAAGTATATGATTACCCTAAAATGGACCGTAATAGAGAAATTTAAGAAAAAGTGCAAAAGTACTCCGTTCCATTCCAAGATGGACAGATTTCCAAAAATATTAAAAAGTAGAGGGCGAGAAAAATTTTTGGAAACCAATTTTGGTTTAAGAAATTAATAATATTTGTTAAAAAAGTAGGTAAATAAAATGAACATACCTTTGCTGCCATTGGAAGAACTTGATGCGGAAGATATAGATGATCCACCACTACTTACACTGTAAAGACTATCTGATTGGGGTACGGACGAAGTTCTAGAAGTCATAGAGTAACCACTTGCTGATGTTGGAAGAATAGGGCCAGTCTAAAACAGATATTCTTATTTAAAAATTAAGTACAACAACCACCATTAAGAATGTGGACTTTAATACGCTTTAAAGAGTTTATTATTAGGTAAACAAAGAACATATCTTTCTTACCTTAAGCCGAAGAATTTTAGCCCTGCAAATGACGCATCTCAAGGGAAGAAGTCTTTGGGATACAGCAATCTGTATGGTTTTGACGAAACATTTACGACAGACAACTTGATGTCCACATGGGGCAGTTTGCATGGTTGCTTTGGCGTTTATACATATCACACACTAAAAAAATGAAATTTTTTAATGGAATGGTAACACTTAAATCAAACTGTATAATATTGTAATTACATTTTTCAAATATCTATAATGCTTTTATCTACAGAAATATAACTTTATTATTTTTATTTTACTGATTTTTGGGCATATTTAATTCGTTTTATTAATAAATTTATCTACTATCTACAATACCAATCAATGTTACAAAAATGTAATAGGAGCTAGATGACACTTTTTTTTGGACATATTTGCGCAAGGCTAATTTACAAATTTACAATTTAATAAAATCCGTTGTAGAAAATGCTAATGTCATATACTTGACTAGATAATTAACTTGACATAAGCCTTCATCGTGCCATTTGCGGTCAGAAAAATTTTCGTCCCACTTGCGGTCAATCAATAATGGTAAAATTCAAATAATGTCAGGGGTGATCTGACTCACGGTCAAGAATATAACTTTGTAAATCGGCAATTCCAAATTGCGGACCAAATTATCAGGTAGATAAAAATAATAGCGAAGTTGTCCTCCATGTTAGTTTTCTTTATTACGTGAATAGTGTCAATGTCTAAAATTAATTCCTTAATAGCTTCAAAATGTTCCCTCTAACATTCAAAATCTAATCGTTAACTACATTATTTTAAAGAAATTACGGGGAATTATTAATAAATCGTGTTATTGCAATATAAGAACCTACTTTATCGGTGTAAATGGTGATACTCATACCCCTAATAGCCTTAATCATTGAATAGGTAAATACCTATTCCCTCGGTACCTAAATCTAAGGGTTTTTCATGCAGAAAAAATAAGTGATCAAGGGTCAGTTTTTTCTCCTCTGAGTGAAGTTGAAAGTAACTACTTACCGTGGTGTGAGTATAGGATGGTGTGCTCGCGCGCAGGCAGCCTCTGGACTGTGACGTCAGCAACGAGTAATTCTGTCGAAATTTCATGCAGTGGTACAAGAAAATCGCAGTTTATTCTTATTCTCGCTTTTGTTATCATTTTTTTTTAAATTTGTTTTTACAAAAAAGTTACTATTAGACGTGCTACTGGTTTGATTCTTAATTAAATCAACAGTTTTTACAAATTTAAATACAAAACTAGACAACATAAAGTAAATATTGTAAAATCGTTTAGGTACCTACTAGAACAATATTATGGAGTATAGAGGTAAGGAGAACTATCTCTGTTTACAAAAAATGTCCCTCAAATTGAATAAAATTAAGATGACGCTTCTGTACAGAGGGAAAAATCCAATTATATAGTTAGACGACAATAGTCAAATTTTATTTTAATATAATAATATAAACAATTATTATATTAAATTGATGATAACGTGAGGAATCAAAAGCTGCTTAAGCGCAAAAATTTAAAAAATAAAAACGATATGCCACAGTCGTTATTGTTTTTCAAAGTTATGCTATGTACAGGGAGATGCAGAGAGACATGTATTACGTTTTTGTTTCATTTGTTACGTAGTACATTGCTGGACAATACTTGCGTTTTTTCTTAACAAATACAGCGTTTAGCTGTACTAGATCAAATGCTGAATAGACTTTGTAAACCTTTATATACAATACAGCGAAATGCTATACATATATGGCCACCCTAGTGTATATAAGTCAGAAAAAGAAAATACAATGATACTTAACATGATTTAATGTGAAAAATCCGCAATTTAGATTACACCTAGCAAGAAGAAATTGCAACTAAACTTGCTAGGGTTGTGGGTTTTTTCAAAATACAAGTACATAAACAAACATAATAAACACAAAATACAATACTATAAATAAAAACTAATAACAGAACTAATTTATTAATTATTTGTAAATTTTTACATTTTTTTTTTAGTTTTCGCCTACAGTTTTCAAAGCTAACTTTTTTATTCAAATGTCTTAATCTGATATAGGTTCTAGTTCTTATTAAACACAATATAATTTTATTCTGAAATTGTTTTGTTGCTTCTAATTTTATCTAATATTTTTTTTAAATATTTGTTTCCGTCGAAAAGAAGTTATTATGAAATCGATTAAATTCGGTCTCAACTATACGGGCTAGTTCTAACATTTCTTCACTTGGGTATATAAAGTTGTCTCTAGATATAAACTTAATTCAATCGGGGGCATGGGTTATTTGACAGGTGTCGGCTCATCTCCGCCCGGCTCATCTCCGCCCGCAACCTTTTTCGGCTCATCTCCGCCCACGGTTATGGTCAACCAAAATACCCGGCTCATTTCCGCCCAGATTTGCAGCCCTTACTAATTACGGCATTTTAAATTAGTAGGTATATATTTACATACATACACATTCGAGTAGTATATAGGTAATCGAGTTTTTGTATATAGGATAAATGATAATATGAAAAATTATAAATCAATATATTAATATAAATGGGCGTGTTTAGTGTAAACGAATTTAACGAATCTAATACTTTTACGTGTTTAAACACAAAAAAACTTTTTTCTCATGCAATAAATTTTTTAAATAGATAATAAATAATAAAGTTATAGTACTTTAAAAAGTTTACTTTTAAATCAATTATTTAAAACGCTCCATTTTTGCGCCATTAACCGCGTCATAATGAAGCGCCTATTTCTATTGGTCACTAAAGAATGGTCGTTATCTTTTTCTAATAGTGACATTTATGATAGTTATCTCTTTCTAAAATCGGATTAAAATTATATTTTCATTTCTCATGATACAAAAATGTCAAAATTTCGAACCTCAAATCGATTGTTGGAAACAAAACATTGAAATTGCTTTTAAAAAGTGTAATAAAATAAACATTTGTTTAATTTTGTGTAACATTAAAAATATCTGGTTTAGTACTTGGTCCCTATGAGAAGTAAAAAAAAACAGTCAATCTGATAAAATGTTTATAAAAGTTCCTCAAAATCTAGACCTAGACATTCAAAAACGATAGTGGGATAAGGGCTGTTGCAAAATACAAATCACCATCGTGCTTTTGTATTTTGTTGTAAGTAAAGATAATTTTGTATTTTTGTTTGTTTCCAATGTGATATAAATTGATAAAACTTACCTAGTTCACCTAGTTGATCAACTAGTAGGTCAATATAGGTGTACCTAACTTTTTACTTAACACTGATTCTGAGGGTACTACCTAATTCGTTTGCATTATTTTTTAGGTGGAAACAGATGCAGAAAACTTGATCCTTTTCAAAATTATGGTTAAAAATTTGACAATAAAACAAGATGTGATTTATAAATATACCATCTTTAACTGACCCTTCCAAAAAAAATTTGTTTATTTTAGCATTCATTTAAAATAAAGTACCATGTTGTGATACATTTTTAAAAAGGGAATTAACAATTCTATTTAATGCAATAAAAATCCAATATGGCGTCCGTAAGAAAAAACGAAGTTATAGTCAATATCTCTTAAATTAAAAGAGAAATTTTTTTGTTCTATTTTTTATTGTAAAGACCTTAAAAAAGTGTCCATAGAATGTCTAGACTGAAATACTGTATGTCCTTAAATAATCGAGATACAGAGGACTGTCAAAAACTCACCATTTTGGTTTTTCGCGATTTATTCCAAAACCAAAAATAACTGACAAAATATAAAAGCAGTTCTAAAATGGTAATAGAATCCTGTGAAACATTGCCCATTTAACCAATTTTGTAGCTCTTATAATAACCGAGATAGCAATACATGCAGCACCAATCTGGGACACAGTGTATATTATGTTCATACAGTGAGCATCTTAAGTTTTACCCCCCCTAACTAACTCGTTACTGGGGTATTGTTAGGAAAATCGCCGAGACAGGTCGATTTTTAATTTCTACAATGTACATTTTTGTTTGATTAGTTAACCCTTAATTTCATCCCTTACTGGAGGGTAAAAACCCTTTCGAAAAATTTAAATGGCATGGGGTAGTGAGTGATAGCTCATTTGAAAGGGGGTTTTCTTCTCTATTCAACCGTGCAAAAAAATTTTAAAATTTGCATTATTACATGTTGATTTATTAATGTTTAAAAATAACAAAACCTCACAAAATAGGAAAGCAACTAGACTAACAGTGACCTTCTAATGGCAAAAAGTCTTACTTCACGTCTGAACCAAAACCGAAGTCATGCAGGGCCGAATTTTAATTCTAAGGATGAGTGCCTACGTTAATTTCCGTTATTCTGAAACAACACTTAGTCGAGAATTAATGAAGCAAATTTTAATTTTTTTTACACGGTTGAATAGAGAATAAAACCCTCTTTCAAATGAGCTATCACTCACCACCCCATGCCATTTAAATTTTTCGAAAGGGTTGCTCTCCTCCAGTACGGGATGAAATTAAGGGTAAACTATTCATACAAAAATGTACATTGTAGAAATCAAAAATCGACCTGTCTTGGCGATTTTCCTAACAAGACTCCAGTAACGAGTTAGATAGGGGGGGTAAGACTTATGGTGCTCACTGTATATGTTTTTATTATTAATATGTATTTAACAAAAGCTAATAGATGTATTTAAAAAACAATTCCTTTAAAATATGCAAATCATTGTGTTTTTTTTTAATTCGGGTAGTTTTGTAAATATGTACCTACTAATCTAAAATGCCGTAATTAGTAAGGGGCTGCAAATCTGGGCGGAAATGAGCCGGGTATTTTGGTTGACCATAACCGTGAGCGGAGATGAGCCGAAAAAGGTTGCGGGCGGAGATGAGCCGGGCGGAGATGAGCCTATATCATTTGACATGCATAATTTATTTTAAATATGAATCTCATCAAATGATAATGAACAAAAACGTTCATTTTCACACAAAGTACTGGATTTTTCTTTCATCAGTTTAAAAACATCTGTCAATATTCCAGGGTTGAGTTAAAGACATAAAGCCCACCGCCTCAATGTACTTAAAGCTGGTAAAGCATAACCAATTTTTCTCAGATATCGATAGGCTTTAGGACTGACGCTTTGTAGAGAAATTGCAGATGCAATGTCTATTGAATCCCATGAAGCAAACTTTTTATTTGTATTAAGCATTCGTTTAATTTAAAATGG